ACCTACGGTTTCCTGGGGCAGCACAGAGAGGTGACAGATGTCTTCAGTACAGGCAGCATCATATGCAAAGCTAAGTGGCAGGAAAGAGCATGCTTGTCAACACTGGCAGAGGACAGGAAGGCCTGCAGGGTTGGCTTTTGGTCCAGGGAAGAGCTAGAAGAGCAGGGATCGGGGCCTGGCTTGGGGCAGTGAGAGCAGCTGAGGAACCCGGTGAGTTGTGGGAAGTAGCCCATAGTAGCAGAGCAGCTTCAGCCTCTTGACCAGCGGCAGCCACAGAAGCCTAGAAAGATGCAAGGCAGCCTCCCACACAACATCACAAATTTCAGACCCAAATGTTTTGTTCTGCCACACTTGCAGAATTCTGAAGATACTAGGAGACTAGAAAATTCTCCGAAGAACATATTTCTACCCAAGATGATTTCAAAAACACGGCGCCTCAGTGGAAGGGGCTGTCACTGTCACAACCACCACAGCACCCCATCTGTTACATGTTCTGCCTTTCCTGGTTAGTCGGCTCAGACGTGCAGGACTGCCCTGGGTCGGAGTAGTAAACCCCAGGGCTGGGGCCTCTAGCTGACTCCTGTCCATAGGGACATCCATTTCCCTTTAGCCAAGGGCGAGTCACTGCTCTGAGTGACAGGGCAGGGCACTTGGGAGCTCTCTGCTCTCATAGCTTGTTGGTTTGGCACAGGCTCTCTCGATGTGTAGCTCTGGCTGGGCCAGAACTGAGATCTGCCTGCCTGTGCCTCGGGAGTGCCGGGATTAACGGCATGAGCCACGGTCCCTGGCCTCCCACCATTGTTATTTGAGACAGAGTCTTACTGTGTAGCCCTGGCTGGCCTGGAACTTGCTACACAGACCAGGCTGGCCTTGAACTCAAAGGATCTTCCTGCCTCTGCCTCCTGAGTACTGGGATTAGAGGCATGTGCCATTATACCTGGCTCTTTCATAGCCTTTTAAATAGCACTTTATAGTTTGTGCGGGCTAGTTTTATGTCAACTTGACACAAACCTATAGTCGTTTGGGAAGAGGGACCCTCAACTGAGAAAATGACCCTCCTGGATTGGCCTGTGATAAACCTTTGGTACATTTTCTTTCTCTCTTTTTTTTAAGTTTAATTTATTTATTATGTATATAATTTTCTGTCTGCATATATGCCTCCACACCAGAGGAGGGCACCAGGTCTCATTACGGATGGTTGTGAGCCACCATGTGGTTGCTGGGAATCGAACTCAGGACCTCTGGAAGAGCAGCCAGTGCTCTTAACCTCTGAGCCATCTCTCCAGCCCATAGTACATTTTCTTGATTGATAATTGATGTAGGAGGGCCCAGCTCACTGTGGATGGTGCCACCCCTTGGCTGGTGGTCCTGAGTGCTATAAGAAGTAGGTTGAGCAAGCCAGGAGAAAACCAGGAAGCAGCACTCCCATGCTGGAGTTCTGGCCTCCAGATTCCTGCCTGAGTGTCTGCTCTGACCTCCCTCAGTGATAACTATAAACTGGGATAGACTCTTTCCTCACCACACTGTGTTTGGTCATGGCGTTTATCACATCAATAGAAACCCTGAAACATAGCTAATCTGGGTTACTTCTACTGGAAAGACCTTTGCCACTTAGCTGTCTCCTACACTAGAGGCAACCAGAGGCCACCTTTGGGAACTGCCTTCCCTAAAGTGCCCAGCACAGAGCCTTCCCCACAACAAGTACTGAGCAGACAGTCGTTTCTCTTAAATCAGTCTTATCATCCATGAGCAGGGTTCTGAGGTCAAGGTGAGGAGCAGGGTTCTGAGGTGACCGGAGGGAACTATCTAACAAGCTCTTGAAATGCAGTGTGGTAGGCTCTCCTCCCCACATTCTGACTCTGAAACCTGTCAGAGGCGAAAGGTGAGAAAAGGTCTCATTGTGTAGCTCAGGCTGGCATGGAACTCACTTTTCAGCCTAGACAGGACTCAAACTCGACGTTGAGAAGTTTCTGGTTTTGTTTACCATCAAGGGCCATGCACATGCTAGGCAGCAAGCACTCTTCCATTACTACATCCCAGGATGGTGGGGTTGTTTTTTAATAGTTCCTTATTTATTTTGTATATATGTGGGTTTGCATGTTATTGTATCCATGTGGAAGTCAGAGAACAACTTCCAGGAACTGGTTCTCTCCTTCCATCCTGTGGGTCCCGGGGATCGAACTTGGGTTAACAGGCATCTTTTACCTGCCCACCCATCTTGTTGACCCTAAGGTTCATTCTTAACCCTATTAAGGTTACATTTTCTTTACTGCCCCAAGGCAATTTTATTCCAAAAGGTCACTTATTAATTTAAGATAGAAGGGCTCTTGGAGGCTACTGGAGACCACGGTTCTGGTACCTCACTACCTGTACGTACCCACAATCCTTTCAGGACACTGCTTAGTCCAGGAGCCAGAGCAGAAAGCAGCCCCCACTTCAGCTGCAAATACACAGAGGGCCTCACAACAGCCACATCAGAGTCACTAGGTCAAAAGTGAGACAGCAAGAGGTTTCTAGGCCAAAGTTTCTCTTGAGACCAGTTCTCTGGGCCACGTGCACCATAAACAGGGCAGGCATCTCCAGGCAAGTGCAACAGGCTGAAAGGATGGGGATTAGACGGGCCAACATGGAGAGTAAGAAGAGGGAGGCTGCAGCCCGGCCGATGGCTTACCTGTCGCCTCTGTAAGGGACCGTGCCAGCTTGGGATTTGGGGCTTATGTCCCTAAACAAGAGATGGGCTATTTCAGCAAATGTTAGGGAAGTTCCTGCCACATGTGTGCACTTCTGAGATTGTGCATACAGTTTCAACGCTCATTTATTTGACATTTACTAAGTTCTAGGCATTCAGCAGAGTGGCCACGGAATCTGCAAAGTTGCTTCTGTTACCTACAGTCAATTATAGTCTGAAATATGAAAGTTTATTAAAACAATTCTTAGTTTAAAGCCACATACTGGCTGGGCGGTGGTAGCGCACTGTGGTGGTATTGCGTTCCCTGAAATATTGTGCACCCTAATAAACTTATCTGGGGTCAGAGACAGAACAGCCACAATATTAAACATAGAGGACAGGCAGTGGTAGCACATGCCTTTAATCCCAGCACTTGGGAGGCAGAGCTAGGCAGAAATCCATGTGTTCAAGGATACAGCCAAGCATGGTGATACATGCCTTTAATCCCAGGGAGTTGTGGTAGAAGGCAAAAAGGTATATAAGGCGTGAGGACCAGGAACTAGAAGCATTTGGCCTGGTTAAGCTTTTAGCTGGTTAAGCTTCAGGCATTCTAGCAGCAGTTCAGCTGAGAGCCATTGGGATGAGGACACAGAAGCTTCCAGTCTGAGGAAACAAGACCAGCTGAGAAGTTGGCCAGGTGAGGTTAGCTGTGGCTTGTTTTGGTTCTCTGATCTCCCAGTTCACCCCAACACCTGACTCAGGTTTGATTTTATTAATAAGACTCTTTAAGATTCATGTTATAGCACACTCCTTTAATCCCAGCACTTGGGAGGCAGAGGCAGGTGGATCACTGTGAGTTCAAGGCCAGCCAGGTCTACAGAGTGAGTTCCAGGACAGGCTCCAAAGCTATACAGAGAAACCCTATCTCAAAAAACCAAGAAATAAAATAAAGTCACATACTGTGCTGAGGAACATGAACTATCACACCTCTTGCTCCATCCCAACCTAGACATCATTTAGTCCAGTGTGTCCATATTGTATATAACTGACAGTCAGCTACTACTGTTATCAGATCAACCACCTTAGTATCGAAATATCAGTGTTTGTGCTCAGATAGCCCTTATCTCAATAACAGCCCCAAAGCACAAGAGTAATAATGCCAACAATTCAGAAAAGCCAGAGAAGCATCAAGTGCTTCCTTACATGAAAAGGTCCAGTCCTGGGCCAAGCATGATGGTGCACACCATTAATCTCAGCATTTGGGAGGCAGAGGCAGGTGGATCTCTGTGAGTTGGAGGCCAGCCTGGTCTACACAGTGAGTTCCTGGACAGCCAGGGCTAAAAAGAAAAAAGAAAACCCCTGTCTAAAAACACAACAACAAAGTCTATGTTTTTTACTTACTACAATTTTAAAATTGTATATTGAAGTTGCTAAATTACCATGTTCACACAGGTTTGATAATAGTATTTTAAATTATTGTATTTATTTTGTGTGTGTGTGCATGTGTAAATAGTACATGTGCCACAGTGTGAGAATGGAGGTCAGAGAACAACTTTCAGAAGTCAGTTCTCACCTTCCACTATGTGGAAGTCCCAGGGACCAAATTCAAGTAGTGAGGCTTGGTGGCAAGCACCTTTATGAATTGAGCCATCTTGCCAGCCCCTATTATATTTTTAATTGTTCTTTTTTTTTCAGCATGGAAAATAGTTTATTACAGAACAAAGTGAATACCTGTTCTATTTTGTTATTGTTGCTAATCTCTCACTGGGCCTAATTTATAAATTAGAACTTGTCATAGGTTATGTACGTCTAGGAAGACATCATACGTCTAGAGTTCTGTACTGTGGTTTCAGGAATCTGCTGGGAACCATGAGAGACAAACCCTCTCAACAGCTCTATGATGGAAGAGTGGTCATCCAGATGGGAAGTGAGGGTCAGGCAAGGCCCACAGCTGGTTAGTGGTTGGACTGATCTTGAATCCAAGCATCTGCTTCAGGAGCACTGTCCTTTTTTTTTTTTTTTTTTTTTTTTTTTTTGGTTTTTCGAGACAGGGTTTCTCTGCGTAGCTTTGCGCCTTTCCTGGAGCTCACTTGGTAGCCCAGGCTGGCCTCGAACTCACAGAGATCCGCCTGGCTCTGCCTCCCGAGTGCTGGGATTAAAGGCGTGTGCCACCAACGCCCGGCTTAAGGAGCACTGTCCTTAACCACCCATGTTGCATAGGAAGGTGGGAATGCGAGTCAGTTGTCAGCCCAGAACCTTCTCTGGCCTTACTTGGCCATGCACCCAACCTCTGAGGGCATAGACGGGATATCAATAGGGACAAAGTCTCCTAAAAGGTCACTTTCTTTTATTTCCCAGGACCATCCCTGCCCCCACTCTCGGTAATCTGTGGGAAATGTGAAGTCTTGCCTCCTCACAGACTTCTTGACTTTGTGTGACACCTGGAAGCTTCCAAGGCCTGCCTGGTCAGGAGCCTGCTGTGTCAGGATCTCGAGCTAGGTTTCTTCTTGTTGTTGCTTTTGTTTTGAAATAGGCTGTCACACTCACAGGCCTGGCAACGTCAAAGTTGTGGCAATCTTACCTCAGCCTTCTGAGTGTTCGGATTACAGACGTGAGCCACCACACCCAGCTTCAGCCATGGTGTTTCTAAAAGCAATTTCCAGGCAGAAGGTCCCTCAGTCATTCAATTATCCTTCTGGTAACAGCCTGTTTGCCTGGTTTGCTGGGCCTATCCCAGAAAGAAATGGGAGGGCTTCTGGAAAGCAGGTATCTCCTGGTTAAAAGCAGGTAGGACTTGGGTCTGTAGTTGTTTAACTTAAGAGGGTTAGCTCCCAGGGAAGCTCTGAGAAGGTGCTAGCCAGCCCCTCCTCAGCAAACACAGGCTCTTCATACTGTGCTGATGTCCTTCTTCAAGAGCTCACGTTGAACTCACTAGGTGCAGGAACACCATGACATAATCCCAGTTCAACTCTGCTGGACGCCACCATGCTGGAAGAGCACTTCTTTCACTTTATCCACAATGGTCTCCACCTCAGCCATGGCTCCGAGACCTGGAAACAAAGTTCATCTGTGGTAAAGAGCCGCCATGTGAGCTAACCTTGCCTGTGGCTACACTCAGATCTCCTCTGGGCCCTTCACCCACATCCTAGTCCTGGGGAGCCCAAGTTCAGCTCAGCATGAGCTAGATCCACCATATCTCTTCCAAGCTAGCCCAGGACAGGCCCTGGGGGTCACTCATTACCAGGGACTCCACCAGACACTTCACACACCTGTCTCACTGCAGCCAAATGATCCTGAGAAACAAGAATTAGCACTCTAGCCATTGCCAGATGAGAGCTGAGCTCAGCAAACAGTTCTGTCCAAGGTCACGATGGGCCAGAGAACCATTGGACCACAGAACCCAAAGGTGGCCCCAAAGCAGAGCCCCCTACAGCTCTGGGCTGAGTATGGCAAGAAGCCCACCTTGGTCTCCACACACCAGCTTCTTGCTCACACAGGGAATCTCCATGTAGCCGAAGGCCTTGAGCTGGCCCACCTGCTGTGCAGTGAGAGGGTGCTTCCACATGGCCGTGTTCATGGCAGGGCAGAAGAGGAGGGGCTTGCTGAGGTCCCAGGCCCGGATGACACAGGTCTGTGAAGAAGTGGAGGAGAGGTGCTGATGCTCTGTCTACTACCCCTCCTCAGTCCCCCCAAGTTCCCCTTACTGTCCTCCAGCCATAGTCAGCAAAACAGCTGTTGACTAGGGATGGCTGGGTGTCACACATCTACAGAGATCTGTTCTTGCATCCTTAAGCGGGGAGGGGCAGTCTCTTCATCCCTCATCATCTCCGCTTAGGCTCTGGCATGGTCCGAGACACAGGAGACACTCAATCAGCACCCACAATGCCCCAGATGCCTCCCTCCACAGATCTCCACTCTGTGTGCAGTCTCCCCGCCCGCCTGCCAGCCTGAGCCTTCTTCACACAGCTCACACCTGCAGGGCTGGGCAGCAATCCTAGGGGCAGGGGCTAGCTTCACCGTTCACTGAAGGCGAGAAGCCAGAGTGCTCACGTTCTACTAAGCAACAGCTCTACTTCTAGGTTGAATAAACCCTGAGAACGAGAACATCCAACACACGATACCTTTCCTCATCCATTATCTCAAGAACCCTACTGTAACCCTGTAAGGAAAGTACTGTCCCTTGTTCACACATGAGCAAGCTGCAACTCCCTGACTGATTAATAGTTGTCCAAGATCACACTTAGATACAAACATGGTCTTGCACAACCACCCACTGGACTGGGCGGTCTCCCCTCCTCCCAAAGCTAGACCATACCCAGGTCACACAGCAGAGCAGCTATGAAAGAGCTTGACCAATTCAGATCATCTCTCCCTCCTTCCTTCCTTCCTTCCTTCCTTCCTTCCTTCCTTCCTTC